AGCAGCCCTGACTCTGCCGCCGCTGGGTCCCCACCCGCTGCTCGAGGCCACGCGGCCAGGGGAGCCTCGTTCCCTGGAAGGAGCCGGGGGACAGGCCCAGCCCTCGCGCCTGCAGACACAACTCGAGCCCCAGCGCCGGCTAGAGCAGAGACTCCCCAGCAGGCCGGGGCCCCTGGCCGCCCTGCGCGCCCCGGGAGTGTGGCTGACCCCCAGCCCTGGGACTATGGGGAGCGGGAGGGCAGGCCTGCAGCCCCCGTCAGCGCCCCGGCTTCTGCAGCAGCCCCCCCAGCCCCCTCCGGCTGTCCAGACACAGAGCCTGCCCAGGAGCGCAGGGGAGGCGCCCCGAAACCAGGGCCCAGGGAGACTTAGGGAGCCCTCCGGCCCAGCCCCACCTCCCCCCGCCCCGCGCTCCCTGCCTCTAGGCGGGTCCCGGGAGACCCAGCGCCTGGGGAGGCGGCGTGCGTGGCCTGTGCCCGCTGCCCGCCCCCACCCGCCGCCTCTTCTCGCGGCTCTCACTCGACCTCTGCGCGCCTGCACCTGCAGCCTCAGGTCAGCCTGGCCTCCCCACCCCTGCCCTCGTCCAGCCAGCTGGCCAGCATCTTGCTGCTGACGCTGGGAACGTCCCACCTGGCTCCTGAGCCGCACACACCCCCGGCCACACCCGCTGCCAGCCAGCCGGGTCAGCGCCCGAGCAGGGTCAGAGCCCAGGGACCCAGCGGCCTCCGGCGGGGCGGGGGCTGCCGCCCCGCAGGCCCCAACACTGGACGGCAGCACCCCGGGACCCGCCACGGGGAGAGGGTGCCCCCCAGGGGTGCAGCGAGCCCCCCGCCCCAGGTAGTGGCCCTCCTTTCCTTCTGACAATGACCGTGACCCCTGCACCTGCGTGGGGGCAGCCTATGGCCAGCGGGGCCGCCTCACCCCGGCCTTCCAGGAACGCCCACCAGCGCTTTAAATGTTGCTGGCCGAGGCCTGTCGCTCCCCCGCGCCCCCGCAGGGGCCTCGGTGTGGCTGGCCCTGGGCAGGGCGAGGGCCTGGGCACAGCCAGCGCCTGGGGCTCAGCGCGCCCGGTGGGCCCCGGGGGCTCCGGAAGCACACGCCTGGGCTTGTGGTGCAGCACGGGGCCCCAGACTTGCACGGCCCGATGGGCCAGCCACTGCGCACAGACGGGCAGACCAGGCGTGAAAGGGCTCCGGGCGCCCCGGAACACCCACAGCCGCCCAGCCCCTGGGGCGGTCCCGGCCAGGCAGCCAGAGCTGCCCCTGCCCCTGGGAGCGCAGGAGGTGAAGGAGCAGGCGAGTCGCGAGGGGAGCCGGCAGGCCAGAGGCGGGCGGGGCCGGCCGCCCCACCCAGCAGCCCAGGCGGGGAGGCAGGCGCCCCACGTGTCTGGGGCCTCGGTCGCGGCCTCCACCCTCCCCCCGCGGCCCCTCTGCGCCCACGCGGTCGGTGCTGCTGACTCCCCGGCCCCAGGGTGAATCCCAGGGCTGGGCCCGGCCCCGGTCTGGCGGGAGGAGCCAGCGTCCGCAGGCGGCCACAGCCCCGTCCGCTCGCCACTCTGTGGCACAGCCCTCGAGGCTGTGTGACGCGTCCAGCCGCCCCTGTTTTCTAAAGATCGATTTATGCATGCAGGAACGGGGTACAGGCCGGAGGTGGGGTGACCGGGGAGAGTGCGGAGCAGAGCAGGCAGGCTAGGGGCAGCGGCAGGTCGGGGCTGCGGCCTGTGGCTCGGCAGCCTGCGCTCTGACCGGGCGCCACCAGGGCCCCGCTGTCCCGTGTTGGAGAGAAACGAGAAGCCGTGGAGCCGAGCTCACGAGCGTCTTTCTCCAGCTTGGGCCGACAGCAGTGCGGGCGCCAGCCCCGAGACGCCGCCCTCCCTCACGCTGCTGGACTCCAGGGCGACCCTGCACGGCCGCCCCCACGGGTCAGCAGTGACCAGGGCGTCCCTGCGGGGGCCACCGCCAGCGAGCAGGGCCAGGCCCCTCGCCTGGGGGCAGAGAGGCAGGCAGCTGCCGGCTGACCTCGAGGTGGACGCAGGGGCCTCGAGTCCCGCTCTCAGGGCCCTCCTGCGTCCGCCAGGTGACCCCCACCCCGAGCTGAGCCTGTCCGCGCGATGGGCGCCTTTCCCTGGGGATCTGGCTTGGAGCCCCCCTGCCCCCCCGCCCCGAGACCTCCACCCCAGCCGAGCCCAGCCCAGCGCTGCACACTCCTCCCGCTCCAGCCCCGCGCCCTGTGGTGGCCACTGTCCCTCCCGTGCACGCCGCAAGGTCAGCCCACCCTGGGGGCAGTCTTGGGGCACAGGGTCTCCGGAGCTGCTCCCCTAAAGCTGCGCCTCCCGCTGGGTACTGCCACCACCCATGCTCAGAAGGTTGCCCCGAGGCCAGCGTGCCCGGCCCCCCCGAGGCCAGCGTGCCCGGCCCCCCCGAGGCCAGCGTGCCC